CATTTTGGTGTTTGCAAGTTAAGTCACAGCAGCTTTTGTGCAACAAGATGTACCCATAGCTCTGTTCTCTGGAGAGAGAAAATCCATACCTTTGATAAAGACTGTGATGTTTCACTTTACTTCAAACTTTCTGCCTAACTAGGAACCTGGATGTTTCATTTAAGGTTTGGGACAGACCTGGGTTGCAAGCCAGACTTCTATTTAATTAATTTCTCAAGAAATGGGGAGCAGCTGTTGCTTCTTTGTCATTTCACAGAAATCAGCCTTTTCATGCGGCATCACTTATGCTTTCGAATTCCCTCCCTATTAGCATCAGCCAAGTGCCTTCACTGTACTCTTTTTGTACCTGTTTAAAACATTTTTGTCTAGGCAAGCCTATCCAGATATGTAGATGTTTGTGTGTCTTAATCTGATAATTCTAATATTTGTCATAAACCACAAAGAGGTTTTACTACAATAAAGTGGTATATAAATTTTGTTAAATAAGCAAAATAAATAAATCCCCAAATTCCAGACGGGCAACCTGATAACCCACAGCATTTGGGAGAGACATTGGGCACTTTCAGACTGTCACTATTTTTGGGTGTCAATCACAAATCAATGAATTCAGGTTGCACATAGCTGATTGGGAGGCCTTTGCACAACAAATCTTTAAAAAAGGTAAAGGTAAAGAACCACTGACAGTTAAGTCCAGTCATGAACAACTCTGGGGTTGCGGCGCTCATCTCGATCTTGCTTTCCCCCCCCCCATCAGACTTTTTGCAGTAAGGAAAGTGAAGGGGAAATGCACTGGAAAGTGTGGGATAATGCAGTATCATCTAACCTCCCAGCAAACAAATCAGAATAATGATGCTCATTAAATAGCCAAAGTTGTCTAATCTCCCTGCAAACAAATCAGGATGAATGTTCATCTGCAAATACCCTTATTCAGTCTGCAATTCCCTTCTTGGAATTGAGTTTACAAGATCCAGACTAATTTTTGCACATAAAATAATAATCCTTGTCCCTCCACCCCACTGCTTTGTGTAATTTCTTGCCTGATGAATAATACAGGGAAATGCCACACTTCTGTGACATTTTGGTTGGCCCTAATAAATCTATTGCCCAGCTGCAGATTTTGGAGGGGTTTTTTCTTCTTCTTACGGACCACCTTTGGCTTCTGAAAAATAACCCATTCTCTGGAAGACCTGCCAAGGCCCTTGTAACACTGGACCAGTGATGTTTTTCAAGACTGTGATTTTCCTTCAAGTGTACTTATTGCTTTCTTTTCCCCAAGAACGTGGAAAGTATATGAATTAATAAATATCCTGCCAACAGAATTGTAACATCTTAGCTGCCACTTTATTTGACTTTTCTGCTGAGTAAGTGAAATCCGACTAAACACAAAACAAATAGCAAAACACTGCATACAGATAAATGATCATTTTTTAAAAAACCTCAGTAGATTCCACTGACAACTATGGAAGGTTTTGTGTGTTGTGTTTTGTTTTTACCTTTGTGAAGCTTGACTCATTCTTTGCTGCTGTGTTATACTGAACAGTTTTGCATGCTTCCCAAGCATTAATTCCATATTGGTCTTCTCTTATTCCTAGAGAAAAGAGTGAAAGATACAATGTTATCTTGCAATCACATGAAAGCACTGTGAAATAAAGTTCATTTCTACACTTATGAGATCTGGATTGCATTTCTCTGAAAAATTAGGGTGTATTTAGCCATATTTGAAGCAGTTGAAATCCCACTAGGAAGCCTGTGTGGTAATTCCTCAGACTGCTTTTAAGACACACTTCCTGTGAACCAAGAAAATTTCCTCCTGAAGATTCTCAGTGGACAGGCTTTGTTTTGGGTTTTGGGTTTGAAAAACTACCCTATTTTACACCAGGAACAAGCCTGGCCCAAGGTGAGGCAGAATAGCAAATGTTGCTCCATGCTCCACTCTGAAGTCAAAGTGCAAGGCTAGTCAAGTTATCTTGGCACTTCAGGCACAAAATCTGTCACATTTCTCTCCCTGATGGTACAAATACATTTAAATCATGAAAAATTACCTGCACTTTATTGACAACCAAAGTCAGGATGGTCCACAGACCTGAGGTGAAAATGAGCTTTGTAGAAAAGTTCGAAGTGTTTTACAAAAAGAATAAAACAATAAAATTAAGTTCATAAGTTTATTGTTCTAGCCAAAGGCCACAACAAACTTGTACTAGACAATCGTATTAATGAAATAACACAGAACATACATCCATAATATAAAAATCCATAATATAAAAAAGACTTGGCAAAACAAAATTATGGATAAAAACAAAACTATTTAAAAAATTAAAACTGGCAATAAACTAAAAAAACACAGATTGCTGGGTAGGCTTTTCTAAACAAAAATGTTTTTAGCAGGCACCGAAAAGAGAACAGCGATGGGGTTTGCCTGACATCAATAGGCAGGGAGTTCCGAACTGTAGGTGCTGCCACACTAAAAGATCAATTTCCTACAAAGGTGGAGCAGGTTTTATGTGACACCTGTTACAGTGCCAGTTCCACAGAGTGAAGCTGTCAACTCGGCATATATGGGATAAGGCGATCTTGCAGGTAAGCTGGTCCCAAGTTGGCAAGGGCTTTGTATACTAACAGTAAGATCTTGACCCTGGCCCAGTAGCAAATTGGCAACCAGTGCAGATCTCTTAGCACAGGTGTTATATGCTGACAAGGACTCACTTTTGTCAGCAATTGTACTGTGGCATTCTGCACTAACTGAAGTTTTTGGGTCAAGCACAATGGAAGCCCCACATAGAGCATGTTACAGTAACCCAATCTTGATGTAACCAATTCATGAATTACTGTGACAAAGTTTTTTCCTGTTGAGGAAGAAGAAGAAGAAGAGTTTGGATTTGATATTCTGCTTTATCACTACCCTAAGGAGTCTCAAAGCGGCTAACATTCTCCTTTCCCTTCCTCCCCCACAACAAACACTCTGTGAGGTGAGTGAGGCTGAGAGACTTCAGAGAAGTGTGACTAGCCCAAGGTCACCCAGCAGCTGCATGTGGAGGAGTGGGGAAGCGAACCCGGTTCACCAGATTACGAGTCCACCGCTCTTAACCACTACACCACGCTGGCTTGTAATGATTGTAGCTGTCATAAAAGGCACTTTTAGTCACTGAGGTCCTACTTGGTCCTTCAGCGACAAAGTTGGATACAGAAGCACCCCCAGATTGTGTACCTGCTCCTTCAGGGGGAATTCAAGCCCACTCAGGGTAGACAATTGACAAATATCACGGACATGGGAACCACTCACCCACAGTGCCTCCATCTTGCCAGGAAAGCTCAGATTGCTGTTTCTCAGCCACTACCTACACCCAAGCACTGACCAAGGAACGGCACAGCCTCTCCTGCTGCAGATGTTATGGAGAAATAGAGCCGAGCGTCATCAGCATACTGATGGCACCTTGCCCCCAAAACTCATAATGACCACTCCCAGTAGTTAAATACAGCAATTAAAAGGCATGGGAGATATGTCTGCCCCCATCAACACAAACCACAACTGATTATGCTGTCGTTTGGATTGAATTTGATTTTGTGAGGATTTTAAGATCTTTCCCTGTATGTTGCTTTTACATGCTTCATTTTGCTGGAAAGGCAGCCTCTTTTACATAAACGAGACAATCCCAACAGAATGTAAACAGAGGCAGAAACATGCTCACTCCCCAAGAGTTATGGTATGCACAGCACTGAGGCTGTAAAAAACCAATAGCAAAGGCACAGGAAGCAACTCATAAGCACCAGGTAGTTACTAAGCACTGGTGTCCACATAACCTTTGACTCCACAGCCATGTCTTGGTGATATACTAGTACAAAATGTTATATCCGAATTGATGGCACAAATAGGGTTTTGCCCCACTAGACAAGATTTTTGAGTAGTGTTGACTGGAACACCTCCCTCAGTGAGGCATCTCAGAGACAAGACATGTTTTTTGATTTGCTGCACTGCTTTTTGCTATGAGGAATAAAGGCAGGCCTGTCAAAATGGACACCCAAAGCAACTCTAAGGGGATTTTAGATTTCTTAGCCTATTTTCAGAAAACAAAAACAGTCCATGCCAAAGAGAAGCAGTTTCCGGTGTCACCTAAGGTAAACCCCTCATTATACAAAATTGCAGCTACCTTCTCAAATGCCATGTGCAAGGCAGAAAAGGTGACTCAATAAAAAGTAAGGATGACCACAAATTTCAGGCATACTTTAAATGTGCTTCAAATATATGCTGTGTATTCAGCCATACATGCCTGTTTCCCCCCAAATAGGACAGTCCATCTTGATACAAGGGGAAAATAACATGTGAAGTGTGACTCTAATACGTTAGGGCTCATCTCAAAAACTATTTTTTTAAAAGAAAAAGAAAAAGAGATAGAGAGGAAGAAGAGAGAGAACATGGAGCAAGATGCAACTGTTTCGTTCCCCATTGCTAAAACTGTATGCTCCTTGGAGAACTGACTTATCTTGGGTTTCAGTTCTTCAAAGCATTTAAAGGCACTATACAGTTAATAATACTAGCAATACTTCCCAAGACAGTTTATCTATAATTCAAGAGTATTTATCTTCCTGTCTAATTCACAGGAGACTTTGGGTGCTTTATAAATAATAGAGGGGAGAGTAAAGCTCACCTTCACAGATTTCATGGATCATATTTCACTAAAGATTTAAGGACCACACAAGGCAAATAAATTGTAAATTCAAAAAGAAGTAAAATTGTCACAGTTAAAGATCTGGGATATTTCCAAGTAGACAATATAGGTTTTCTGCTTCTTGCTACTCTGGCAAAAGCATATCAGTGAGGTTTAAGTTAGGATAGAATGTTTACCTTATATGTTACCATGACACTTGCACTAAGATTCCATCTTCAGGACTTGCATGATAACAAGGAGCCATCATTTTGCTTTGACTCTTATGTCACAAGAAACTTTTAAAGCAGAGAGTCAATGCTCAAAGCTAGAGTCAGACTTTTTATTTCACAGACAAGGGTCATTGCTCAGGGATAGAACATCTGCTTTGCATACAGAAAGTCTCAGGTTCAATCCCTGGTATCTCCAGATAGGACTGGGAAAGTCTTCTTGCCTGAAACCCTGGAAAACCACTGCCAGTCAATGTATACAATACTGGGCTATTCAAAATGATCTGACTCAGTATAAGACAGCCTCCTATGTTCCTAGAAATACTTCTTCCATCCACAAAAGGCTTCTGATCCAGCAGAGAGATCCTACTGGCAGAGAGGGTAGGGAGGAAACTTTTTCCAAATCCCCCTTCCTTGCTCCAGACACTGTTGCTACCTCCCACAACATTCTGGATTGTCACCTATGCCCAATGTCCCATGCACCAGTACTGCAGAATAGTTGCAAAGTAGGGCTGGGGCAGTATCTGGTTTTCAACATTGCAATATATCACCAGCTAAACATCGCAATATACCAACACATCACAATGGCTGAAATAAGGATAGAAAACTATGTAAAGGCAAATTCCTCTAAGTGGAATTTCATGTTTGCAGGGGTGAACTTTCTGTGAGGGTTTGAGTGTGTTCAGGCTTCTGTGCTCTGCTCACGTTAAGCAATGGGAAGCAGCAAGCAGGATAAAGGCTCGCTGCTTTACGGAGAGAAATTGACTGAAGATAAACAACCTTGCAGAACAACGGGGAGACAACCGCACTCCCTCATGCTGTAGCACTCAGCATGTCTCTGTGCCTGTTGTTGTCAGAACCTGTACATCACATGGACCTAAAGGCCAGCACGTGTGTATCTGTTTATTACACAGTGACTTCCTTTATAACATCTTAATGCTGCAGTGGTTAGGCCTGAGGGGTTCTAGATAGCACAGAGAAAGCCTAATGTACAAACTCCCAGGTTGATATCTTCAAGAGGAGAGCTTGGCATTACAGCAAGGATTATGTGATAGTGAGCTAGAGAATTGATTTTTTTTTAAAAAAAAAATTAAACTCTATATGTCCCCCCCCTCCTATTACATCTTTCATACAGCAAGTAATAATCCAGGATTACCAGGCAGTTTCCCAGCGTTCCTTACATATCCTCTCTACCTCCTGTATTGCCGGTCCCAATGCAGTCTTTTCTGTCTAGCATGTCTAGCCATCAAGTATTAAGATTAAATAAAATATCAGTGAAATTACATTTCCGGGAATCGTTTTTGGCTTTTCCAGAATAAAGTGGAGACCATGGCAGGAAACAAAACAAACAAAAGCAACAAGTCTGTGTACCATAGGCAATTACAGCACTGAAATGCTATTGTCTGCAGTTACACTTCAGGAGGGCATATTAAAACAACAACAACAACTGGTCCCCAAATAACAATTCAAACAAAAAATTCTATAAGACATAGTTCATTAAAAAAATTTTTTACCACAGCTGAATAACACTGCCTATCTGAAAGCCAACTGAAGCAGCTTCCTGGGATGATGGGCGGATGTCTGGATGTCAGCAGGTAAGTAGTTCCAGTGTGTGTGTTAGGGAAAAACATCTCAGTGTAACCCTGATCTTATTTTCATGGAGACTGAGGTAAAATGGAGACCTTTTGAAAGAAGATGATGGTGGAAACACTCAAAATAACAAGGGAATGTGCTTCATTGACAACATTTTCCTGAGGTATGAAAGTGAGAGCTCTTGGTAGAGCTCCCATATTCTGCTTTAGCTAATGGAGCCTCCAGCTGCCACCGCGCCACCGGAGAACAATTTCTGTTCTCATCCTGAAGCAAAGTTCTTAACCCGAGGTAATATTTCTAGGTTAGCGGAGTCTGTAACCTGAAGCGTCTGTAACCTGAAGCGTATGTAACCCGAGGTACCACTGTATTTAATTCATTCCGAGGCTCAGCCTAGGCACCAGAAACAAGTTCTGGAGCAAAGGTGAAATATACTTGGAGTCAAGAGTGGATTTCATGCTCTTTATTCAGCTCATAGTGGTGAGGAGGAATGGAAGTTCCCCCAGAATGTCTGCCTTATACATTATTTACACAATGGGCCCCGCGTGATTGGCAAATTCCGGGATTCTCCTGTAGGCCAATCAGGTTGCGGATTCCCTTCCACCTGGAGCTGGATTGGGTGGTTCCTGTGGACCAATCAAACTGCTGCATTCTGAATCCTATTGTTCTAGGACCAATCAGACTGCTGCATTCTGAATCCTATTGTTTTAAGACCAATCAGACTGCTGCCTTTTGGATCCTATTCAACTCAGTACATAACAAAAGGCATCCTTGGCAGGGCTGGAGAAATCATTTTCATCTAATTGACAATGAAACAACCTGGAAATAAATCCTGCACAATTCATCACATACATGTTGTTGCTTTTCCTTTGGATGATGTCTAGGTGGCTTTGCCTCTTTTCTAAAGAACATCATGAGATCCATTAATGGATCTTGGGCATCTTGAAGCAATAGCTTACTGCCTGCAGAGATGATTACAGGATCTACTGCGAAACAGATAAATGAGCTCTCTTCAGACTGAACTTGTAAAACCCTTTGTAGTGGGCAGCATTTGAGAGCAGGTTCTTATGGGGGGGCCACTAAGAATTTTATTGGCTTAGGTCCCATTTACAGAATGCCCTTGGAAGAAAAAGCTAGTCTTACTCTAACATAGCTGGTTTCCTTTATGCTAGTTAGTAAGACGAACAAAATAAAAATAAATTACCAGCAGAATATCAAATATCCCAGAACATCTGGACAAAGTAGCCACTCATTTTTCAAATCTGTATTTAGAGGGGTGTGGGGTTTTTATTTTTATTTTAAAAAATGCTATGGTTACTTCTCATCCAGGTTCAGCGTTTTGTTCCGCAAGCTATAAGCTAAGCAACCAGACATATTTAAACCTAAATACAGAATATGGAAAGACTTCAGATTCAGGATCAAAGCAGTTGGTGCCACTTATTCAGTAGCGAGGGCTGGTTTGGTGTAACACAGCTTCTCATTTTCAGCTTCAAAAGATACTTCAGGAAGGGGAGACTAAGAGCACAGATGCACTTAACCCTTTCCCCATCTATTTTCCTGCTCTGAATTCTCCCCCACCCTCACAAGCTGCAACTGTAGGAAAAGTTGCTTGAGGGATGATTTGAAGCTAGAAAATCACTTGTGGGAAACAGGGGAAGTAGTACCGCTTTCCCACTAATATTTATGCATTCAATCCTCCCCAAGTGGCTTTAAGAAGAGGAAAATCAGTAGTGTACAGTTCAGCACATTTATGTGTTAAATAATTTGGCTCCCAAGACATGTAAAGTCACAATGCACTCTAAGTGATTCCACTAAGAGCCATTATCCCACTCAAACACATTAGGGCAGTCCTGAAGTGCCAGCATATACTTAATAAAAAAATGCAGTTGTTGGGAAATTGAAGGACAAACTGAGTTTGAATGGGTCCTTTTAAAAGCAAAGTAACCAAAAATGATTTCTTCTGATGGCTTCCTAAACTACCATAATAAGTTCTTGCAATTCACATTTAGGGAATCAGAAACATGGATGTTATACAGAGATTTCAGATATAAAGTGCAATCTCAGACAATTCAATATTGCATTGGTTCTGTCTACATACTAAAAGTTGAGTTTGGGACCAAGATGTGGTTAACCCTCACAAAAGAAAATCAGCCTGGCAAAGGAGACATTCGTTATCAGCAGCCAGAGTGTTGGCATAGGCCTGACATGATTTCCACTAGGTAACTATAGATTCTTGGTACCAGAAGATATGGGGGATAGTTTTACTTGTGAAATTGACACATACGTTTAAGGTAATGCAGTGCCAGCATACAACTGATTGGGGTGGGGGAAGGATCAGGGAGTAGGCAATGATTTTATTGTTTTTACGACCATGGAGGAACATGACCAGCCTCTGACTGTGTTTCTTCGCCTGTGGGTTTTATGAACAGGTAAAGAAAAATATTAAAGTTAAGTGTAATGGTCTTAGTATTGACAGCCCACAACAATTCCTCTGTAATTGATTTCAAATATTATCCAGGATTATTTGTTCTTTGTAACACATATCGGCTCTGTTTATTGCTTGCATTTTTTCTTTAGTGTTTCATATAAAATTGTAAAATTTAATGAATTTTTTTTAAGGTAATGTACACAGGTAGGAAGAAAATGTCACAGTTGTCTTCATGAATCCATACTTCTTACTGCATAGGATGTTTCAGTGTCTTGCATAATAGGAATACAATACTTTATCATGGTTCTTGGGAGGTGGAATAGCTCCATGTTAACACTACAGGTGCTAGGTTTTTCTTAAGGCAGGTATATACCTTAATGAAAGACCACCTGCAGAACATCCCAGGTTTAATGCCTGGCATCTCCCAGTAAAGCTGCAAAAGGTCACTGTTTAGAACCATGGAGAGACATTGCCAATCAGTGCAGAACAGAGATGGGGAAATCTGTGCCCTGCAAAATGTGACTGGACTCAAATGTGACTGAAGTACCTTCAGCCCCAAGCAGAATGCCCAACAATCAGGAATGATGGGAAGTGTCCCAACAACATGCAGAGGTGTCATTGGCTTCTCATCCTTGATGAGGACATATTGAACTAGATGAACCAAAGGATTAACTCAGTTTCTAGTGTTCCTATGGTGGCTTCTTCTATACCTTCCTATGTTTCTAAAATGGAGCCCCGTCCACAGTCTTCTTCGACATCCTTATTATTGCATAAGACCTGCTAGATCAGACCAAAGGCCTATTTAGTTCAGCATCCTGTTTCCCAAGAGAGCCAACCAGACGCCTGCGAGAAGCCCTCTCCTGCCATTGTTCTCCAGCAAAGGGTATTCAGAGGTATGATGTCTTTTAAAGTTGCTGGTCATCATCACACCTTGTGGTAGCAAGTTCCATAAAGTGATTATGTACTGTGCAAAACTCTTCCTCTTGTCTGCCCCAAATGTCCTACGAAAAAGATAAAGACTCTCAATCTACTTCTCCCTCAGCAAACAAAATTGTATGATGTCCTTTTTCCTAACCTAAAAGGCCCCAAACACTGAAATCTTTCTTCATAAGAGTGTTGCTCAAGCCCCTCATCCTTTTGATCACCCTTTTCCACACTTTTTCAAGCTCTACAATATCCTT